GTCTGTCTGTCCAGCTGATGGGCTCCCCCTCCCCACCCTGCCCCGCCGCGCCAGGCCTGATCCTCTCGTTGTGCCCGCTCTGCCCCCCCCAGGTGTCTCCAGAACTATATCCCGCCCCAGAGCCTGACCCTGTCGTGCCCCGTGTGCCGCCAGACCTCCATCCTGCCTGAGCGCGGCGTGGCCGCCCTGCAGAACAACTTCTTCATCACCAACCTCATGGAGGTGCTGCAGCGCGACCCCGATCCTGCCACCGCCCGCGATCCTGCCGCCGCCGTGCTTGGCTCTGTCAGCGCCGGCACCGGCAGCCGCTCTCCTGCCCCAACCACGAGGGCAAGGTGGGTCTTGGGGCCAAAGGGAGGCTGGGGGGGGGGCCCGGTCCAGCTCTGACCGCCCGTGGCCCGCTGTGCCTGGCAGGTGATGGAGTTCTACTGCGAGCCCTGCGAGACGGCCATGTGCCACGAGTGCACGGAGGGCGAGCACCGCGAGCACCGCACCGTGCCCCTGCGCGACGTGGTGGAGCAGCACAAGGCCGCGCTGCAGCAGCAGCTCGACGCCATCAAGAGCAGGTGCCGCGGCCGTGAGGGGGCGGGGGGCAGCGCCCCGGCTCAGGGTGGGGCGTCGCGCGGGGCTGTGCGAGCTGGGCCCTGACCGGCGTGCCCCACAGGCTGCCCCAGCTGACGGTGGCCATCGGGCTCGTGACGGAGATCAGCCAGCAGCTGGCCGAGCGCAAGAACGACGCCGTCTCGGAGATCTCCAGCACCTTCGAGGAGCTGGAGCGGGCGCTGCAGCAGCGCAAGGGCGTGCTGGTGCGTGACCTCGAGGCCATCTGCGGGGCCAAGCAGAAGGTGAGGCCCCCTCCCCTCCCTGTTTCCACCTGCCAGCTCCAGCGGAGCCCCCACCCCGGTTGACGTGCCCCCGCTCCGCAGGTGCTGCAGGCGCAGCTGGAGGCCCTGCGGCAGGGCCAGGAGAACATCGTGAGCAGCTGCACGTTCACGGAGCAGGCGCTGCACCACGGCACGGCCACGGAGGTGCTGCTGGAGAAGAAGCAGAT